GTGTGAGAGCAGTTACAATCATTATTCAGGCTCTTGCATTTGTGGGAGAGAGTGTATCAGAATGCCTTCAGGAAGCATTCAGTTCAATCTGGTCTTTAGTTTGAAATACTTCTTCCAGCAGCTCTTTCCATCTCCTTCCCATGGTTAACCCTAATGGCCATCCCCTCCTCACCTCAACCCTGTGGCATATATTCTCTCTCCTGTGTAAATAATTAACAACATATCAAAGCCTAGGAAGAAGTAATACAGAAGGATTGTATTTTATTCCACCAAGTGGACTATTTTGAAACCCCCACCTCTCCCTCTCTCCCCCTGGCATACCATGGTTTTGTCTTGAAGCATTCCTTCATTTACTTACCTTAGAAAATATTTGTACAAATATATGTACAGAAATTTTGTGTATTTTTCTGAATTTCCACTTGTGCAGACTGAAAATACGTAGACGAATATGTAAAAATTACTGCTAATGGAGATTTCTATGCTCCTCTGAACATAGTAAATATAATTAATGCCCTCATATAGATGCTTGGACAATCATGTGTGTGTATATATATGTGTGTGTGTTTTCATATTGTAAATTCTTCATTCTCCTTAATTAATAGTAGCCTACACAAATAGTCTCACTGGATTCAGCAGGTTTATCAATGCAAGTAATTACTCTACCGATGGGAATAAGGGGGTTCACATTGTATCCCAGAATGAAGTACTGATAAGATACAGAAAGAAGAAAATTACATTATTGGGCAATTTCTTGTTACTAGCACTCCCTACCCTTCATATTTTTAATGATAGTTAAATTTTGCTTTTCTGTTAATGAAAGTGCAGTTAGTAGTTTTCATTACTGAACTTTACAGGCTTCAGTCTTCAGTTTTTCAGTCAGAGTGTGATGGAATCATAATTTATGAGGGTCCAGAACTCAATCAAACCATTGCATTCACTTCATCAGCACCTGAATGTGAATGTTGAAAATAAACATTATGCTACTTACAATGTATGGGATAAATGGAATTATGTACATTACCCTTCAGTTCAATATACCTTAAACTCAAAATTGGAATGAACATGAGGAAGGCAGAAAGCTGTTGATTTGAGCAAACTATTAAGCTACATCAAATGTGACTTCAGAGCAATAAATATTGTAAAGCTTTGCAGTCATAAACAATAATAAATACAGTGAATGGGTTCTAAACAAAATATTTATCTGCTTAATACTGTAGAGGTAAGCAGATGTCCTTGAGTTGCTGCCAGACTGTGCTGAAATGAATGCACTATTTCATAAAGATGAATTTTGCAAACAAGTAGGGCTTCAGAGACCCAGGCCATTAAAAAACATTACTGTATCTTGACCACTGGCGTTTTGTTACAATGGGAACCATGCTTTCATGGGTAAGAATCTCAAAGAGCTGTGTGGACATTTTTCCTAAGCATTGTGTGGATGCATGGAAGCATAAAGAATTATGCAGTAAATTCTGTGTCTGAGAGATATAACTGGCATGTTACAAAGTTGCCTGCTTACAAGTACTGTGCTGATGGCATTGCTATTCTTGACATTATAATTCCACTGCTTTCAATTCTCTGGAGATGATAAACCCCAAACAACACAGTGCCACAAGCTAAGGGAGATGGCTGGGGTTTCATGACAATGCTCTGAAAGAGCGGCAGAGACATTATGAGGTTTGTCAGAGAGCATAAAAGCCTTTATGAAGCAAGTGAATTAGGCTTCCTTTGTTGTTCCTTACCATATCCAAAACTGATAGTAAGGAGGGTTGTTTCCAACAACTGCTCGGTTTCTAGCTTTTAATAGTTAATGGGAGGTCGGGCTATAAGCTGAGATCAATCTCAGAGTAATAAATTTTACATTATTATATTTGTCTTTCTTGAAATATAAACACCAGAGGATCTATTCTCAAATGGCTTCCGACCCATTTTTTCCATAATTAATACAGGAAATTCGAAGAACGTGACTCCCCATGCAGCTCAGACAGAGGAAAATCGGTATTCATCAGCATGGATTAATTAGTCTTTCACCAGACACACAGTTACTTCGAAGAGCTACAAAATGGGCAGTTATAAAGGAGGGAAAGCTGTCTCATAAAAACCCATAAGCCACATGTTCTCGTGAATAAGAGATACTTTTTTTAACTTTGATGTTTATTCTATGTAGTTTAAGATTTACAGCTAGATTTATCCAGCTCCACTGACATTGACCTTGCCTTCAATGCAGCAGCAGTATGGAATGAATTGCTCTTCCCTGGTTGATTTGAAGGGCAGTACTTAACAAAAAAATGCAGCAAAGATTCACTCTGAATAAGAACAGCAGAGCCTCTCATTGTTCAGATCTGAAGCCTTACTTCTGGGTCATTGTATTCAGTATGTCTCCACCATGCTTGGCAGGCTTTTTCTTTGTCTTTTAATTGGGTAAACACATCTGTTACAACCAAGAAAAGGAGAATTATGCACTGCCACTTAAATCTTAGGGACTATTCTAACGGCTCCATCTGTGACACTGAGGTGTAAGGAGTGTTTTTTCTTAGTCTTCTCATTTTTGTTACTTATAAGAACCTCATTCATGACCTGACACAATGTTTTATGAAGTCAACAGAAAGGCTGTCACTGTTTTTAATGAGCTTTGGATCAAGCCCTCAGTTTTTCATCAGCACAGAACAAATCCTTTCACTCCAGACACTGCAGTGACATAAACTCCATGAAGGTCCCAACTCGTCAGTTGGAGATTTGAAGTCAACAGCAGCAACAAAGAGGAGAACTTGGGGACCATCAGCAGTGATATTACCTGTCTAACATGTCTTTGTTCCAAGATGCATTGTAACTGGAGATTTATGACGCACAGCAGATTATTGTACATTTCAGACCACTGCCTAGGAGGAAAGCAAGGGTGGGAGAGCAGGAGGAGGAGGGCTTCGTCACACACATTCCTAAACCAGACACCTTTTGCCCGTGTCCATTACCAATCCCTGGCACAGCCCCAACCTTCATTACTCTTGCAAAACTTATCTTTTTATAATAAAGATAAAATCTGATTTCACTTAAAGTGTAAGTGAAATCTTAAATAACAGACCTGCTATTGTCTTAGTCTTTGCTGAAGAGGTTGACAGACTCTTCTGAAACACATGCTGGTTGGTATTTTGGCATCAGGAGAAAAGCCAGCAGATCCATCTGAAGCGCAGTGAAACTATCCCACAAATGTATTAATATAAAATGAGATTTACAATGACTTTAATGGTATGCACTGTGCATAAATTATTAGAGTGATGGCACTGCCAAAAAACCCTAATTAACAGGCATATAATTTCGTAAAGGAAAAGTGAGGTTAGAAATAAATGTGAGATCTTTTCAAAAAGACCAAGTGTCCTTTTTGCATTACGACTGACACAAAGCAGTTTTGCTCAGCAGTAGAGTAAGATTTTGAGACATCTGGGAGCTAAACAAGTGGTGTAAGTGTAGAGTCCTTCAGTCCTTCTTGGCTTTGGCTTTAAAAGTCCACATGTTCAAGGGATTTTAGATTCCTCGGTCAACCTTGAAAGAAAGTAAGAGAGTTAAAATTATATTGTTAAGTGCGGTCTCCTTACATGGACATGGGAACTATGGAATGAGAGCATTGGGTGGAATAAACTGAAAAACCATTCCATGATTCTATGAAAAGTAAGAGTTGGAAGGGACATTAAAGATTATCTAGTTCCAACCCCATGCCATGGACAGGAATGTCACCTATTAGATCAGGTTGCTCAAGGCCCCACCCCACCTGGCCTTCCAGTGATGGGGTATCCACAACATCTCTTGACAGCCTGGTCCAGTGCCTCACCACCCTCTGAGTAAAGAATTTTTTCTTGGTATCTAATCTAAATCTTTTAAACTTTTAGTTTAAAACTATTCCCACTTGTCCTATCATTAGCTACTTAATAAAATGCAATAAAGATAAAATGTAATATAAGTAAATAAAATGCAATAAAACTGAGAGTAGCCACACTTTGAGACAGTCTAAGACAGATAGGTTAATTCATTGTAAATACAGAAGTCTAGTTTCGCTATGTTGCTAAGTTTTGACCTATCCTCATGGAAAAGGAGTAGATAACTTGTAATGACTTTTCCAATGGAAGATCAAGTGCATGCACAATTTGCCTGCTCTGTGCTGTTTTTAAGGTACAAGTTTTAAATGGAAAATATCCGGATATGCTGCTATTTTAGTTCTGAGGAAATATGCTGGTGATGAAGTTAAGCACCTGAGTGCTAAGTGGTTTTGGATTACAACCTTTGTTTTGAACAGATTATAGATTTTGTAAGTGCAGCCTGGATGTAATGTGTAAAGATTTCCACTTTTGAAAGATGTACTTTGAGCGTTATGCAAATGAGCCGTTGCTTACTCAGATGGTAGAATAATCTCTTTGTCCTGATGTGACAAGTAAAGTATGTTTCCACTTGTTATCCCCATCTGTCACAAGATGATAAACCTCAGATCTGTAAAAGTCTTATCTGAATGTATTTGTTAACATCTGGCTTTGCTGGCCACCATCATGTATCATTTTCATTGTGTAACTAAGGAGCTGCATTTTTTTGTCAGACACGAGGCAACTGGAATTACTTGATTTCTCCACATAGGTCCAGTTGGAGAAAGCATTTAGTTTAACTCACCCCTGTTCTACACATCACAGAAATATGTTTATCAAGCATAAGCTTAAGAACTCTTCCAAACAGATCTGATTTCTGAATCAGAGCTATGGTGTTTCAAGTTGTTTCATTCGCAATTAAGTTATATTCAGTGCTGATTGCACAATATAAAACCCTCTAATATTTCACTTGCTGCATAATTTTTAGAGATAAAGACCTCTTCACATTGAAATACAGCCTATGAATCCATTTACTGTGTGAGAATCTGATTTATGTAGGGCATATGATTTACACGTGGGTTTGTACCAGTGCAAGTGGGCTGATTATATTTATTCCTTTTTTTGTTTGTTTTGTTGTTTTTTTTTTCTCTCTAACAGCGGGGACAACGTATATCTTTAGCAAAGGTGGTGGACAAATCACTTACACGTGGCCTCCCAACGACCGGCCGAGCACTCGAGCAGACAGACTGGCAATAGGGTTTAGCACTGTGCAAAAAGAGGCTGTGCTGGTGCGAGTGGACAGTTCTACTGGCCTTGGAGATTATTTAGAGCTGCATATTGTAAGTAATAATCTCACCAAAGGAGTGAGGTTTCTTCTTGTCTTGCTTGTTCTTGCGTTTGTGGGGGTTTGAATTTATTTTGTCGGAGTGTGGTTATAGCGGTAATGAACTTTTTGGGGTAAATAGTGGACTAAATGGTACTGGTTTATTGCATGTGATGTTGTACAGGGTCTCAGACATTCTCAAAATGCCTTTTTTTTTTTGCTATAGTGCTACTTTTCCTGGCTTTTCAATTAAAAATCATACTGAGATACTACCTGTACAGATAGAGCAGTTTATTGCAGTGTAGTTACATGGAACGGAATTTAGCAGTGTCAGAGGAAGGTATGTTTATCCTGGGGGATTTAATCTGGAATCTAATAGTGGAATTCCAGTGTATCACAGCTGACTGTGCTTTTTGTAATTATTGGAATTTGTCCCCTGATTTCACAATTCTGTTGTGATGGTAAATCTTAAGCAGGAAGACTGTCAGGCTAGGAAGTCTTAGAAAGTAATTTCAGCTGTCTTAAAGCAAGGAACTAGCAGTCAAAATTGAAAGCATATGGAGTTTTATGGCATCATAAATAAATGATCAATTGAGAAAAACATAACTGGAGCAGTGTAAGGTTTTGTTGTTTAGATTAGTCTGAACTTTGTTAATGTGTTCATTTGATTTTTGAGAATGTCTCTACTTTCAGGAAGAGTTGAGTTCCTTTTGAATGAAATTACTTATTGATCTATAACCAATTACACTTTTACCCTCAGAAAACATTCAGCAGTGATAATTTTCAAAATTAGGTGGGATTATGGTATTCAATCTTCCCAGACTCCTTTTTCTGCAAAGGCACTCTTAACATTGTGGACAAAGGTGATTTTTTTTATTTATTTGTTGGCTTGAGTAAATAAAGAAAGAAAGAAAACCTTAAATAAAATTCAGAGGTTGTCTATGCCCTTATCTTACATTGAATCGCACGGATGAAGTAGTTGGCTGGTATTCTGCAATCTTAGTTTGAAAATGTGAACAAAGCAACTTCTCCCAGGTGCCAGAAAAACTGAGAGCCTACATATTTCAAGGCAAGTATTGTGCAGCTAGATAGAATTTAAATATTTGCTTTGCAAACACCAGGTGCCTTGTTATAATTTACCTCTTTATTTGCAATCTCAGAGCAAACCCACCCTCTGTGGTCAACAGAGTTACATTCTTCTTACAGTTTTTTTCTTGTTCATTAGCATACAAAGGAATGTTTTCCTTGTAATTTTACTATACCTGAAGTCTATCAAAACTACAATATTTGTTTGCTCTTCCATCTAGCCATGATATTTCTATTTTAAAGCAAACATTATGATCATTAATGAGAAGTTGGAGATGATAAATTATTGCCTGCTCATAAATGTTTGTAGTTTTCAATTTTTTTTCTCAAATAACTTACTTATACCCATGCTGTAGTGAAAGATGGTAAAAAAAAAAAGAATAATTGAGAGTTTTCTATGGTCAGAAACACTACCAGCTTAATAGGGATGGGGAAAATGGTTAAATTGTACTTTAGTGATTCTTTTGAAATTTCTGTGGAGCAGCAAAGCCTTTTATCATCCTGCTCTGTGAGGTGATACTGGCCTCCCCCTGCTGCCTTTGCAAGGGACTTTGGGAATCTCCCTGAAGCCTGTTCTGCTTCAGACCAAAATGGTAACTGTGTGAAATTTCACTGGAATGAGGTTTGACCTCTGAGAGCAGCTTCAGAGTAGTCTGTCCCTAGAGTGGAGACACTGAGGGATTGACCTGAAATCCTAAGACATTTGGCAAGGACTTTTATAAGAGTTGTCAATGATAGATAAAGCTTGGAAAACTATTGGGATATTGTTTCCCAGAATGTAATTCAAATAAGGATAGTATTCAAAGCAAAGTTGAAAGGCAGTATTTTCAAAAGCACTTTTGACACCAAAGACCATATATCTCATTAAAGTCAGTTGAGCTGCAGATACTTCTGAGAATTTTACCTGAGATCCATTTTAGCTCAGAAAGATATTGTGAGATCACAGTTCTAAAAATGAAGAGAGCATCGAAACAGGGAGGTCTACGTATGTGTTATACTTGAAAAATAATTTATTGGATCTAAATGTTTCCATATTGGCAGCTACTGTGTTAAACCAGCTGATAAAACTAGGAGGAGGGAAGTGTTTAATTCTGCATGTTCTTTTGCATGTACCACTCACTGTGAATATGCATGAGCAAAAAGTGCCTGTGTACCTGGAGATGCACTGTGCATGGATAACTCATCTGTGTGTAGTGGCAAAAAAAGTTCCCCTGGAACTATTGTTTGAAAAAAAATTAGATTATAGCCCTCATTAGCATGTTGGGGAGGGTGCTTGGGAGATTTGAGGTAGCTTGCTCTAAACTTTGTTCATTCTAGAAATGGAAGAGGAAATTACAAGTTAGGTTATGGTACTTCAGTGTGTGCTTGCCCTCTTTATTATTCTGTTTACTTAAAGACAATGTAAACCTAATAATGAAATCAAGCTTGTAACAAATTCAGGTTTTGAAAATTGCTGCTTGATCATCTGAATCACACTTTTGGTGTTAGGTTAGGAACATATTTATTTAATCATTTAACCTCTCCAAATAACTATTGTTATGAGAAACATTTTTAAAAATGTGTAGTCTGCATTGCTACCAGACGCTTAACAGTTCCAGTGCAATTTTACATTCCAAGATACATTATTATAAAACTCCACCTGTACATATTTATGTAGCAACATACATATAACGGACTGTTTGTGTGTATGACACCTATGAAACACAGTACTTCAGGAAAGGGATTTTAAAATGTTTTAGTAATCCAGAGCTGCAGCAATTAGCTTTCATGTCAATCATTTGACTTCTCGTATGGAAGTGGGCACCTGTGCTGTCTCTGTTGGGAGATCTAGTTCAAGAGGAAATAGATATCCTACCTAAAAGTATACTGCCACTTCCTCTCCTGTTGATTGATAAATGAAGGACAAGTAACTCTGATAATTACTGCAAGCTTCCTTTTTTCTTCTTGTCATGACATGGTCTGCATCCATCTCCATGTCGCATGGAAAAAGGCAGCAGCTTTCATGCAGTGTCCAATTAATCACCATGTGCACTCCTGCCCTTAACTTTTTATCTGACTTTTAGTGCCCTTAGGTAATTCTGTCAGTGATTCCTGTTCCTACCTCCACTCTTTTTCTCTTCCCATCCTGTTGTCCCACATCATTAAAAAGCAAAATGTACAAACATATGAATGTCATTGTCTTCCACAGGCACTGTGCTGTTGCTGCTTTGAATTTTTAGCTTTCCTGTGGTGAGGAATAAAGTGAAGTTAGACAAAGATATCATGTCAAAGGGCTAAGAAGTCCTGTTAAATTGCTCTTTCTCTCAACACTGGAAGCATAGAAAACTGTAATTCTTCTGTGTTGCACAAGGGGTATTTGCTCTGCTTGAGAAGGATATATTTCCATCAACAGACTTCAGCCATTATAAAAAATATGTAAATTATTTTCATCTTTCATTGTTAAAATGAAAGACTTTATAAAAAAATGTAACTTTTTTATGTCTGTTGGAAAGAATCAGCAGTTTCTGTGTCTTCTTTGTGTCGTTTGTTTGAAAATCAAAGTGTTTGCAGAGCACAAAGCAGCTGTTTTTATGGTGATAGCTGATTTTGAAGTTAAGAACAAGAAGTTTGTATGGAGCATAAGGCCAGCAGAGCATTTAAAAAGTATAAAGCTTTGGCATTCCAGAGAAGACACCCAGCCTAGGGCACATGAACTACTTAAGCTGAACTGGTCGCTTCTCCTAACTCAAGCAGGGTGAGACTGTACTAATTAATCTCATTTACCAGCATGGACCTGCAGAATTATGTGAAGTGGTGATGAACATTCTCATAGGAAACATTCAGAGGTCTAAAATAAGGAATAAGGCAGATGTGGCAATGTTTTGAATGTTGTCCTAACCCTCTCTGGGAGGAAAGTGGGGCGAAATGCCCTGTGAGTCCAGTGAGAGACAGTGACAGTCTGTCTGTACTTAAGATATAGAAAACATATTGAAATAAAAAGAAATAAAACTCAGGATAGGTGGTGGTAGATTTTTTTTTTTTTTTTGTTTCATTCTATAAAATGTCACTAGGAAAAAATATTTTAGGGGAAACACTAACCAAGAAGATTAATACTGTGATGATAAAGCATGAAAAACTGCTTCAAAAGATTTGCTAACACATTGCCTGAAAAAGTAGGATATGGTTAAAACAGATGGCATCAATATATGCAAGGCACAACACAATTAACCTGAAATACTGGGAAGATGTAGCATTACTGGCATGATGGATTAATCAATATTGTCCTTAGACTTCCAAGATGTGTTTGTGAGTCCTTCAGAGATACAATTAATGACTGAGGTGAACAGTCACAGGAGCGGAAAGATTGTATGTTTAACAGAAAATAGAGTTTGGGATCATGAGTAAACTCAGTTCATGCTCTTGGTCCCAAATATTAACATACTACATATATTAAAATGTATATTGTAGAAATGGCATTTTTAAATTTTATTCTTGAAACTTTCAGCAAACTTAAAATGAGTATTATTTCCTACTCCCTCCCTCTGTCTCTTAGTTATACATGTGCAGTACTCTGCTACACCAGGCTTTTAATAGCTGACTCTGTTAGACTCTATTGGACATATCCATAAAATATGGATAGTTTTAACTTGTGCAAGTATAATGACCTTCTCTCAAGTGAGCAGAAGGAGAAAAACTCAAGTGAGGATCAGAGTTCTGTGTTTGAGTGTACCAGGGGAAGAGCTCCAATATTTTATGATAAATGCGTTTGATGCATTTGTTATTCTCTTTTGAATACTTCACATGTCTTGGGCTTAATGTCTAATGGAAAGTCAATTGATTTTTATTGACTTGGTTGTATTTGGATCAATTCCTAGAGAGCTGGATGTACTTTCACTGAGATTGATGATAAACATACCTTTGATTTTAGTGGTTTGTATTGGAGCTAATTAA